GATACCACATTAAGTTGCCTCAGCACAGGCAGATTATTTACACTGATAATACACACTATTAGACATTAAAAAAACACGGAATTGCATAAAAGCTTTTAGCCCCTCAATCTATTCCTGTGCTATTGCAGTGAGCCATATAAAACAAGCTCCAAGATAAAATAAAGCAAATAAGTAGAAGACACCTCAGTTCAGCCTAAAAGAACCTCTTCCTTACCTTAGATACTGGCACTAATACAAAATAAATGCATGCTGGTAGAATATCAGTAACATGATCAGAATTTCTACCACAATGTTTTGAGTGTCAAAGACACAAGAAGTACTTGAACTCCATGTACTAAGAACCATTTCCACAAACCCACTTTCACACGGGTGACAAATCAATTCAAGAGGCTCTGCTCAATTTACAGGCAAGCCAACAACAATATATTCAGAGCAACGCCACCAAAGGAGATTGTTTTTAACTACTGGCACAAATGGGAAGTAAAAGTGGTTTCAGTTGTCAGAAAGACATCAATTTTTCTTCATGTATTTACAGTCTATAACCTCATTGTTGTGGATTACTATTTGTCTCAGTTTGAAGAGACTGGAATGTTTACTAAAGAGGATGAGTTATGAGACAAACCAAACTCCTCTCTCTCAGCAATTCTAAATTCAAAATTAAGGGGCTTTAATCGAGGAACTGTGGAAAAAACAGAAGAAATAACAACCCTTTATTAAAAGGGTTGTTATGTTGGCAAGAACAGTAACAGAACACACAAAAAAACTAGACAATAGTCCTGTACCCAAAACGTCCTCTTCAAACCAAAGAAAAAGTCTGAATACTTCTCTGTCATTTAGCGCAGTTCTAATCACAGTTGGCGGGGGCGCTGTTGGGTCGCTGGAGGTGCAGAGCCTGCAGTTCTCTGTGGTGACCTGCAGGGGGTGCTGTTGGAATCTGGCGGTCACCACGCAGGGAGGGGGGTCTGGGGGTGGTCTCGGGTCACAGGAGAAGCCGAAAAGAAAATGGGGACCCTTCCCCCAATGGAAGAAGGGGGAAAGAAAAGCAGTCCACCCCCACAGAAATCACTGTTGTCCTCAGATGACGGTGTCTCAAGGCTCCTCCTTTTTCTCCCAGTGAGCAGAAAAACTCTCCGATGAAAATGCAGCAGGTCCAAGCTGGAGACAAAGACAGCTACCCCATCTCTGTCCCAGAGATCATCATCATCATCATCATGGCCAGTCTTCGCGAACGAAGATCAGGGAAAGGTCTCTACCCACGTTTGCTACAAGCGCGCTGGTGATAAAGGGCTTTGCAAATGCAGGTAAGGCCTTCGAGCCTGTGCAACGGATTTTTTAGGTGAGACACAGTGTGCTCTGAACTGAGGCCACCCTTTAATCCTAAGGTTCATCTGCTGGGGCCGAGCGAGCTTGGACGGTGGCAGCGAGGTCGTCAGGACGTAGGTTTATTTAGAGTGACCTTCTCGTAGATGGATGGCCTTACAGGGCTGAAGGAGCTCCATCTGCCTGGGTTTAGAGTTGTCCTTCTCTTCTGTGTGTTCCGGGGCTCCCCTCTCATCTCCCACGATGGCACTGTCCACACAGGTGAAGCTGGCACTCTCTCGCTCCTTTCCGTGCCCGGGGCTGGGCCCATCCCAGAGAGAGAACCCAGCAAACTGACTTCTCCCTTCTGAGGAGAGCCAGCAAACCCCCCTCAAAACTCCTCCCCTCTCCCCCCAGCCTCAGATGGGCCATCCGTTAGGAATGCGGTTTGGCCAGCTAGGTTCTTCTGTAAAGCTAATCGCCCCCCCTTTCCATTCAAACTCCATCTTTCCTACAGTGGGGGAAGGGGGAAGAAAAATTCCTCCCCTCGCATTTCTAACCTATAACATTCTTTTACCTTCATGTTCCCATATTACTCTGCTGTTGGTATCTGGTAGACTCTGCACTGAAAGCTTTTCAAGTTGCTCAGAAGCATTTGTAACTTCGCCACTTTCTATGTTGATTCCATATGTTTCCCAGAAAAAAAAAATCCTTCTGAAAACACCCATTAAAAGCTGCACATTTATAACACCTATTTCCTTGTTTAACATTTAGCACTGAGCAAAACAAAACAGAACCTTACTTTATATTTTTTGCAGCACATTTGACTTTACATAAACTTCCCCAACAGTCAAAGCCATACAGAAGACTGTAAACACATGCAATAAGGCCTCACTCAATAAAGCATCTATTCTGAATGAGATCCTTCACTTCTAACCTTTTTCAGGCACACAGTTAAGGGTACAACAAGCTTTTCTGCTCTTTTTAAGTTTAACACATATGAAGGGCTTTACACTAAAAGACTCACATTGTTACTGAAGAGATTTTAAAGATTCTTCCCAAGACGAAACAAAACATTTAAAGACGTGTCAGCCAGACAAATGTTACTTTTATGAGAGCTACACAAGCCACAACAAAGAGTTCTGAAAATTAATAAAGTGACAGGTATGCATTTGCTTCCACTTTGCAAACATAATACTGAAGGTGTTTTCATATTTACTAAAATTAGCATAAATGCAAAACCTGTTAATCCACCAAGAGTGCAATATTAGTCCTTGAACAAAGACTCCACAACATGTTAATCAGTTTGCTCAAAACATTTCCCTATTATCATTACAGGGGAACAATTCTAAGTTGTGTGGAAAGATTTTTAAATCTTCAAGGATGCAAACAAGTTCAAGTTGCATATAAGAGATAACGCTATAAAATGAGAGTGAATAATTATCAGAGATTATACATCAAAGCAGGAGACAATTATCAAGATCTTTTCTGAATGACTGATACTCTGGAAAATAATCCCATACAAGTAAGTTAGCATAATGAAAAAGAACAGCTAATACATGAAAAATAGGGCAAACACTAAAATTTTATATGTTCTTCAGTATCTGTGATAATGGACAGTTGAAACATCCTAACCAGAAGAAATACCACTCAGATAAGATGGGCATGCATGTCTCACATGCACTTGGGATAGTCTGCACCACTTCAAGGACCAGACACACTCTGACCCAAGGGATGCAGCATCTGTGTGTCACATTCTCTTTTCAGCACGTTCCCAGAGTTGGGGGCCTGAGCTGAGACCTGGGTCAGGTCTAAAATGCAGTAGAGCTCAGCAGGCTCTCAACTCCAGTCTTCCCAGATCAAAGTTAATGCTGGAGACAGTGAAATCAAGTTTGTGCAGCACAAACTAAACTGAATTAAGACAAATACTTTACCACAGTTGCAGACAAAGAACTATAGAACTACCCAGTTCAGTCAGCATGGCCATCCTGTTAAATTTCTCTCTCTGAGAGAAATGGGGAGATGATGAGGTGGGAAGGAAGCCAAAGCAGGGAAAAGGACAGAGGGTCCTTTGCTTCTAGGCTAATGGGCTTTTCAGTCTTCTGTATGGGGCAAGCTATGAACCCAAACTTAGTGACAGATACACATTATTTATTCACATCATATACCATCAAAATAATCTAAAGTAATAACCTAAAAATTACTATCAGATAATTATAACATGGTTCAAAACTTATGTTGGCTATGCAGTGTTTTGGTACCTCAAATGGTGACACACTACACACCACAGGTTTTTTCCCCTGTAAGTTTAAGGACATGCACTTTCAAACTAAGTACTTGGAAAGGAATCTCATATGCATTTTAGCTTCAGGAGCTGCAAATTTACATGGCCAACAAAGCTGTTGAAATTATCACTCACAAAGAGCTGTACTATGCAAGTCATCTTTATATATAAAAAAAAAAAGACTAAAAAGTCAGACATTGTTTTTACTATGTCACTTCTAACGTGCACATTATTGACCACTATAAGCCTTCAAAACTTTCCTATCATTAATCTAGGTTTGGCAGAGTAACAGAACACAGTAGTTTAATATTCTCTGCAACAGTCACACAACACTTCATGAAGTTATCCTCAATTGCTCACAAAATTTAGGTAAATTAACTGGTAAGTGAAGATTAATAAAGCATCTGTAAATGCATAAGTGATAAAAGCTCAATGTTTTCTTACTGGCTAGGATACTGCTTCTTTCCATGTTCATCCCTGAACTCAGCTGCATCACCCCATTCTGGGCTGAGAACCCTCTTGACACAAGTTTACTAAGCCCTGGAGCTCAAGTGGTAGAAATAAACAGAAAGGTAGGATTCAAGTTTCATAGAAGGTAGATAGTAAGGTATAATTACAGAGGAAAACTGCTACTTCATGCATAACATTAATTATTTGAAAAGTGAGTTGTAAAACCCACTATCAACACCAAGACATACTCAAATGTCCTAAATCCTCATGTTTTCTTGTGATTGCTTGTAATAGCGTAGCTCAACAAATTAGCTTATGGGCTGGCAAACTGCTGTTAAGTGGTCATAGCTCTTCACTGATGATCCTTTTACCACTCTGAACCCACAGGCAGCCTGCACACGACTTTAAATGCCTGGAAATTACGAGACATCCTTAGTTTTATTATATTATTTTCAGTGAAAATTATGCTTCACCAAGCAGCCATTGAACAATTACAAGCACATTAATGGCATCTTCCAAAGCATTTGAACTTCTGCTAAAGCTTCCTTTCTTCTCTCTCCAGACTCTGAAGCATCAGATTTGAAGTTTCACTGTTTGCACTACCACACTTCAAACAATATTTATATAGGACAGGGTACCGATGCATTGTATTTGTCTCAGCTAAAAAGGCAAATAGACAATGTTTAATGTGCCAATACAGGAAAAAAGCCAGTCTTTCTTCTCCTACCGAGAGAACAGGAATCTAATCAATTTGTATTCCAGTTTAAATACCCACATGTTATCCACTGCTACTGAGTCTTTTGTCTGGTAAGCTACAGACAGTTAGAAAGAAAAAATATTGCATGAGCTACTTTTTGCTTTCAACAGATTCAAAATATATACAAAAATACTTTGTACTTCTTGGCCTAAAATATTATGGAAAACTAAGAAACATTCTACAAGAAAAGAAACCTAAGGAAATGTTTACCAGCTGGTAGTCTCTTCTTGCAGTCTTAACAGAGACTTCTTCAGATAATCAATGCAGCAGCTCGTCTTCAGATCTGAAAAAACAGAAGAATCCCATTAAACACAAGTAATATATACCATTTCCATCACATAAGCCAGTGCCAGGGGTAAATCAAAGTTGATCCTGCAGTGCCAAGGAACCTACATAATTCCTCAGGAATGCAAATAAAACACATCAATTTCAAAAACACTTGTTATTTTATGGAAGTGACATTACAAGTGAATGGAGAGGCATCCTTACAAACCCTCAGTCAGTAAGGCCATTAGCCAGCCATGATCACAAGCATCAGAAATAGAGCATTGCATCTCAGCATTACCGAGTTGAGTTACATATAGTTACAGCACAAAAAATAGAGCATTACATCTCTGCATTACAGAGCCAAGTTACACATAATTGCAGCAGAAAAAAAGTAGGTCTCTGTTCAAGCTTTATTTACAGTGTTATATATATACACATTGCACACAGGGAAAAAATGCTTCATTGCTACAGTTTTCATCAGTTAAAGAAAAATGCAGCCAGTGAAAGTTTTTACCTTTCTGAACTTTCTGTATGTTAACCAGGATTTCCTGCTTCAAAACTAATCTTCTAGTTTAGAAAAAAAAACATTATTTGTATGGTCAGACAAAACAGCATTTCCTATGGAAATGCAGCAGAGATTCCACTGCAAGCATTCGAAGGGTGTTTAAGTTAATTTGGAGCAGATTTCTATAGCAGTCTACCTTTTTTAGTACAGTAACTGGATGATGAACTGGTCAAAACTGGCACCTTTCTATCGTGGTGAAAGGTTCATAAACCTTATCCCTTTGAGGTTTTGTAGGTTGCTTCTGTTTGAGGGATTTCAGCTAATTTAAATACTTGAGCGTTGCCACTTAACCTGTCTCCAGTAAAACCACTGCTGCTCCTACTTCGGGTGTTCCTGGTACCAGAATCCACCCTTCTAATATGTCACATCTCAAGGTTTCTTTCAAAAAGTGATCTTCTCATTTTGCACTCCAATTCTTTTTCTGTGTCTACAGCAAAGGCAGATTCTGCAATGCATCTGTTTTTAGCACAAACTTGTTTTAGAAATATAAAATCCCTGTCTTGTCATTTCAAATCCAGCTGAAGAGGCATGAAAAATTCAGTGTTAATTTGTATTTAATCAGCTACCAGCAGTTCCTCTTTCATCAGGTAATCCTGATTAACAAGCATTTGACAAAAAATACGTTGCTTTGCAGTGAATTTTCCAGTCACAAAGGCCATAACATCACTGATTTGTCCCTGCTTGGGAAGCACGGAGGGAAGGGGAAGAGCTATGAAGTGTCAAGGCTGGGGAATGATTTTAGTCACAGTGAAAACTACCATCAAAAGATACCACCCATTGCCTCCTGCCCTCTCCACAAAGGAAAAACTTGCAACCTGAAAAGCACAGCTCAGAAGAGCAAGTACTCTGAGATACTATGCAAAATTTAATTGACAAATAAAATCAAGGGATCCTATTCACAGCTACACTGAAGCAAACAGTTGCAACAGAGAGTTGAAAAGCAAAAAAAAAAAAAAGAGAGAAAAATGTTAAAAAACAATAACTTCTGCCAATTTGTATCAAGGCAGCACCTGAGATAAGCAAGTGCCTGCCAAATTAATGTGGTCGTTTCTTTTTTTTTTCTGTAAATGTCATAATAAGCACTATTTCTCTCTCCAGCAGAAGGAGAAATCTAAAAAACACCCAAAACACCTTATTCACTCTGTTAAAAGCATAGGCTTTCTTTTAACAATTGTTTTACTACCCAATTTCAATCCCTTTCATTTACGGTCCTCTACAGGGAAATGTATAAAGTTAACAATTCACTTAAAAACTTCTGAATGGAAGCCATAAGGTCCTTCCACTCATGCTGCTTGGCAAGAGCTGAGCAGAGCAGTTCTGTCACTTCCTACATCCTGTAACAGGATTGGAAGCCCTGCTGCCTGAGTGACCATTTATGCAATGCCACATGTGGAAGTTCCTTCAACATATTCCACAAAAACACTTCCTTCCCTGTTACACTACAGTATGAAAAGCTTCCTATTCAGGACCACGAAATGGATTTTTTTTCCAAGCATGACTGATCATTTTGTTTAACAGAAATTTTGTTATGTTTCCACTGGACCAACGCACACAGAATCACGTTGCCAAATTCAAATGGTTCAATCTCTGAGATTTTAACTACCTGAAGACACATGCAGGAGTTTGTTTTACTGAGAGCAATACCTAAGCCTGCTGGAGACTCTTCTGCCTCTCCAGTCCTGCACTGATCCCAGTCCTGGTTGCTCAGCATTTCCCATGCTGTAGTTCCTTCTCCCTGGCAACCCGTTCCTGCAGACTGGCCTTTAGGTGAGAAAGGGAAGCAAGTGGCAGCAGCAACAGCTGTGGAGCAAATTCTGGATATGAAAACTCAACCTGCAAAACAGCTGTAGGTAACAGTGGACTGGAGGGATCATGGAAACATCCATGAGCAGTGGAACTACATCATCTGCCAGTGCTGGGCAAAGAATAAAGCCTGGTGTGACAGGAGGAACTGGAGAGGTAAGAGGCTGCTGCACAGGCACGCTGGCCAGGAGCAGCACTGCATGTGGGAAACACAGGGTGCTGGAGTGGGATCACACAGAGAAAGCTGCAGACAGGTGATCCCTTTGGAAGATCTCTACAGCTTTCAAGGCAACAATTCCTTATACATGATCTAGATTAATCCAGTTCAGTCCATAAAACCTGTCAGGAGAGCTTTTTTTTTTTTTTTAAAAAACAGATGCCCAAACTGTAACCTATGGCAAAAATAACACAGCTGAGAAAAAACAAATTAGGTGCCATCTTAGTTTTCAGATAAAATTTGTTCACAAACTAATTTTCTCAACTTCAGTAGACCTTTGTGGAGCAAATTAACACAGTTTCTTTGACAGGCTAATGAGAATAGCAGGTGAACAACAAAAGAGTAAGCTCATTCCCAGGAGATATCCTTGCTTGCCCTCCACACACTGTGTTGGCATAACTTTATAGGATGGTGAGTTCAAAAGAAGGAAGCAGACAATAAACCCACTTGTTACTGCTAAATTAGGGAGACTTCATCTATTCATTTAAGTGACCATCCCTTATTTCATTAGTTCTGTCACTTAAGGGGAAGGTGGAATTAAACTCTGAAGTACAGCACCTGATTAAATCTCGTGCTCTATATAAAATTCATGCTCAAGAAAACCATTAACCATGAAGATGCAAAGAGCCTTCTGTGAATCTCAGTGTTCGCTTTTCTCGGGTGTACATGTTCCAACAGGCAGAGTCACAGCCACTGATTCTCAGGCCTCCAAGTTTTGCACTCATTTAAGCTATAAGGAAGAAGACTTCTGAGAAATTTATTAATGGTTGTGTCCTCAGGAGAGAAGGGCAAAGCCACTAACATATGAGGTAATGGGTTATACTGAGAAATTCAGGGTACTCCATATAAGAGTTTGCTGAAATACTGTGGCAAAACAGGCAGTAACCATCAGATACAGCAGCTTCTATGTAGGGGCTTGAAGTTAACATAAATAATTTTGCAGTCTTTGCCACCATTAAAGCAAGTCTGCCACTCACAGCCCAGGTAAGCCCTGTGTCAGAGCTGGCTACAAGTCTTCACAAGCAGGTTACAGGGATGACTCAGGGCTGAGATGCAGAGGGAAACAGGTCAAAATCTGTCCTGAAATTCTGCCCAAACCCTCAACCGCTGACCCAATAACACACACTCCTGGTCTCTGCCTTGCTCCAGTCGGATACTTCTCCTCTCAAGGACACTACTGAAGTGACCATCTGGGGTGGCCTGAGATGCCATTTCACTTCCTCTGTTATTGGTAACCTACACGGCGCCTCTTCAAAGGCCCAGACAAATTTAGATTTCACAACTTAACATGCAGGTTATTTCAACTCAAAAGCTTTGTCTGAAGTACATTTAGGAGTAACTCCACCTCTCCAAGTAGCCTGTATGCCCAACACTGTTGTATAGACATGAACCACAGTTAAAAACCTCATTACATACATCCTCTTTGCCTGTGCTTGATTTTGCTTAGCTCAAAGCATAGGATGCATAGAAGAGACAGCAATGTGGATTCAAGGTGATGTATCCTCCCTGACACAACAGACAGCTAGAGACAACAGCCCATGATAAGAGATATCTGAAAAGCAGAGTATACAAAATGAGGTAAAGAAAAAAAATAAGCCATAAAGATAACTAAGTGTCAGAAGGTTTATGGTAGTTTACAAACAATTCTGTTGTCAGTCATAACACAGCACATACATTGAGCAGTCAAAATAATCCCTGCAGAGCTTTTGGCAGGCTACTCTTCATAATAAGGCAGCTACAAAAGAAGAGGCAGAAAGCAACATAATCAGTGTCCTACAAAAATAGGAACACCTACAAATACTAGAATTCACAGATAGTTCCATGACAAGCAAAACTCGAGAATTTTATAGCTCACTAAAATGATACAGACTACTTTTTCCCTTACAAACACATATTGCCAAAACTTTAATTTTCAGTTGAAAGAGGAAATTCTCCTGTGATCTGAAGAAATTGGTAGTCAGAGAACTATGAAAAAAATCTCCAAATTTACTTCTACACAGCTGAAAAAGTAAGTTCTCATTCCTTTATTTCCAGGACAGAAATGAAACCAAGTGTTTAAGATCAAAGTAATTACACTAAAACTCAATAGTCTGAGCTTCACCTGTACATCATACAGTTAATAACCCTGATGCTAAGACACATTCCAAAGTTTAGACTATCTGCCTCCGGAAGACTATAGCTCTGTTTCCATGTAACACCATAGCACTCTAGTGACACCCTGACCATTTTTAACATCAAATTATTACTTTTCTTCATTCACCAGAACAGCATCAGTTACAGGATTTAAGCATGCTGTTCTTTATAGGTTTGATCTACAAAACAACAAAACATATTAACGTACCAGTAGCTAATTTTGTGTGTAAATGAAGATCGTCCAGTTCATTAAGAGTTGCAAAGACACGAAGGGAAAAGACACACATAACCTTCCTTT